CACAGCCACGGTGAGGCTGGGGCAGTGGCACACGTGACCCCCGGGGCTTCTGGGGGGAGCTAGGGAGGCGTCCACGCCTAGGCACCCGGGTTTTGAGTTAGAGGACCACCCCTCCACCCGGTAGTGGGAGTTGCTTGTTTCTACCGATGTCCCCCTTTCGACAGAGGGCAACTTCCTGCCCTGATGTTGTCCAGGGCATGGGACGTGCCCCGTGGAAGCCGTGTCCAATGACACTGACTTGGCACGTGGTCAGATTTCTGGCACCGCTGCCCCCGGCAGCCAGTCCGTGAGGAGCCTGAAAGATTCCTCACTTGGAGGCTCCTCCTTTGAACTAAAGCAACTGATCAGTATTTGGAGCAGATAAAGGACTTGTCTGTGCCATCTCTCGGGAGCCCCAGCCTGGCCAGGCGTCTGGCGGCCACCCCACGGCAGCCTGTGGGGCTGGGAGGTGGGCCACACAGCACCCCGCTCAGGGCCCCGTGGGTTCGCACAACGCACAGGACTCGGCTTGAACCAGCTTCCCCTGAAGGATGGATGGCCTGTGGGGCCCAGCAGCTGGGTCCGTGCAGGAGGCCTCGGCCTCGCTGGGAGCTGTGGCCACCGTCGCCTGACCCCGCTGTGTCAGCCGGGACCCAGTGCTTTGGCTGGGAGGCCCGTGAAGGCTCAACATCAGGACCAGGACTGGCCCAGTTACGAGATATGAGTTTTAGTATTTTTATGGAAGGAGGGGCCTCCGAAAGCCAAAGTGCCTGCCACCCACAGGGCCCCTGAGACCCTGCAGACCTGGTCTATGCCAGCAGGTAGGAGTTCGAGACGGATGCCCCCAGGGAGAGGCCTTGGGCGAAGGACAAGTGGACACATCGTTTCCAGGCCGGCATTCCGCACCTGCCTCCTGAGCTCAAGCAGCAAGTATGTCTCCAAATCTGAGGCCGGTGGGGGCATGGTGATGCCTCTCTCCTGGGTGAATTTGGATTCTATGATGATGATGGCCATCGTCCCAGTCAAGCCAGATGACTCTCTTCTGCTAGCACAGGGGTGGATGCTGACCAGGCCGCCCACACTGCCCTGTCTTCCTGCCCTGCACCCAGGCCGGTCCCCAGGAGCCTCCCAGGGAAAGATGCTGGTCTTGCTTCTTCCCCGTTGCTGGGTATGGGTGGGGCTGCCAGGAGCTGACACAGGCACGTCCACACCCGCAGAGGCCATCCAGGGGTATCTGGCTGAAAAGGCCCTAAATGTCTTGGTGGGTGAGAGGCCTGCCCGGCCGCCTACAGTCGGCCCACCTCTGCCCACCCTTGGCTCCAGCCTGTTTGGGCCCCAGTGAGTCAGAGTCAAGTTTCTTGGGGCTTTCTCCAATGGCTGGCTGTGCTGTGCCCCACCTGCTGCCACACGGGCAGAAAATTAAACATTAAGACCCAAAAAGTTCCCAGGTGTGCCATCGAAGGAAAGCAGAAGCAGCAGAAGGTAAAGTAAGTAAGTTGGATTATGTTAAAATAAAACCTGTGCTTCAACGGAAACCATCAGAAAGTGAAAAGACAAGCCACAGAATGGGGAAGAATGTCTGCAAATCACATATTTCAGAAGCGACTTGCATCCACAATATGTAAGAACTTTTACAACTCCACAAGAAAAAGGGTGAAGGATCTGAACAGACAACTCTCCAAGGAAAGTGAGCAAAAGCATGCTTGATGTCATTAGCCACCACAGAAATGCAGACGCACATGGGTAGACACCGTGCCACGCCCGCCGGGATGGCTGGAATCAAAAAGTCAGGAACGAGGGTGGGCCGGCTATGGAGGCCGTGGGAGCCCCTGTGTGGCTGGTGGCACTATGAAGTGGTGCGTCCTCTGTGGAAAACCCACCGTCAGGTGGCTCCTCACGAGGTTAAACAAAGGGCTGCCACATGACCCCACAATTACTCCTCCAGGAGAACTGAGAACACATTCCCCATAAGGACCGTGCATGAATGCTCACAGCAGCCAAAAAGTAGAAAGAACCCACTGTCCATCAGCAGAAGAATGGGTAGGCAGAATGGGGTCTGTCCACACAACAGAACATGATTCAGGCATAAGAAGGAACGAAGTTCTGACCCTTGACAACCATGCAGGGAATCTGGGACATATTAGGCTGAATGAAAGAAGCGGACGAACAGCCACATGTCATATGGTTCTGTTCACACAAAATGTCCAAAATGCAGAGGTCCACGGAGACAGGAAGCAGGGAGTGAATGGGAGATTGGGGGTGAGCGCTAAGGGTATGGAGTTTCTTTATGAGGTGACTAGAATCTTCTAGAATTGACTGGTGATGGTGGTGTGCATCTATGAAGAGCCTAAAAATCCGTGAATTGTACACTTTAAGTGGGCAAGTTGTAGGGTATGTAAATTACATCTCAGTAAAGCTGCGAAAGAAGAAATGCAAAGCCTTGGCCAGGGAATCCAGGTCAATGTGGACCATGTGTGAAATTTCTGCTTTACGATCTGGCTCTCTCTGTGTGACAAAGCAGATGTGATGACAGATGCTGCCCAGAGCAGGGCCTGGCCTCAGGTGTGGCCCCAGCAGCCCAGGGCCACCTTGGGGAGGAGGAGGAGGGCAGTGGAGTGCAGCGGAGTGTGGCACTGCTTCAGGGGCACCCTCATTCCACCTGTCTTCCCAGGACACACACTCATCGTCCTGGCCCTTAACAAAGACCAGAGCCTCAGCCAGAAGGAACGAGACTCTGCAGTCCCCACCAGCACACCTGGGCGGGCATCCCAGCCATCCTCCCCCCGTGGGAGGGCAGGGTGGCGGGCTTCCCGGCGTCTGAGGGGCTGAGCTGTGAGTGAGCACAAAGGAATCTCCATCACACGGCTCCACACACGAGCATATCTGCACAGGGGTCGCACACCTGTCCTTGAGCTGGTGTCTGCTGATGATTATAAACATGTGCGTTTGGAAGGGCTTCCATTTCCAAGGTGTCGCAAACACAGTAACAGGACACATGGAGCACAGAAGATGACAGATTGGCCGACTCTAAGTTGGGCATTAAAAGCTGTATGGGTGGATGGGAGGCTGAGGAGGGGCTGGGAGAGCCTGGGAGGGCTGCCCAGAGGTGGAGGGTCCTGAGCCCTGGGGCTGGGGGCCATACGGAAGGCACTCCTCTGCCAGCCCAGTGCCTGGGATGGCTGCAGCTGGCCTTCAGCTGGGCTCCTTTGGCATGGATCGCCAGGATGGCTGGGAGCCAGGGTTACCCACGGCACGCTTCACATGGTCTGTATTTGCGCCCCATGTGCAGCCTGGGTCCTGGCTGACGGTTGGTGTGGGGGTCTGCCGGGGTCAGGAGCGTGACTCTGATTCGATTGCAGTCTGTGGTTGATCAGCTATGCCCTTCGGTCTGCTGTAATGGGGGGTTAGCACCAGCCCCTCACCCCTCGCCCCTCGCCCCTCGCCCCTCGATGGCTGAGAAGTAGACAATGATGCTTGGAAAGCACCCTGGGGCTTGGCTGGATGTCAGCTCATCAATGTGTGTTGCCCCAGGGTAGGGGGGTGCGTAGGGAGGGTCCAGGCAGCGGTGGGGGCTGCAGAGGTAAGCCGGGGAGTCCCAGCCGCATGGAGGAGGTGGGCCAGGCCTGGGCAGGTGAGGGACCTTGGGCGTAGCAGCCCATCTCCAAGGCTTGGAGCTGGCACTGGGTCATGGTGAGGATATTCACAGAGATCAGAAATGTGCGAGTGACCACGGGGTGACAGGCACCTGCGGAGCTGAAACTGCTCTGGGAGACACAGGAGCTTGGTAGGCAGGGAACGCTGAGGCCAAGTGAAGGGAAAAGTCGTGTGGGAGCAGCAAGCTGGGGTCCAGGGCAGAGGTGAGGAAGGATGGTTTTTCTGAAGGCAAGTAGAGAAGAGGGGGAGGGGAGGGGGCCTCCCAGGGCGAGGGCTGCAGGGAAGAGCACAGATGGGGTGCCGAGGGGCTGGGCATGAGGGAGGGGTCAGCGGAGCACCTGGACGATTCTGGGAAGGAGGCAGAGCAGAGGAAAGGGGTGCAGGTGGCCCTGTCCTTCACAGGGAGGAGGCGGAGTACAGGTGACCAGGGCTGTGGCACCCCAGGGCCAGCTGACACCCTCCACCATTGCCCAGAAGTCCAGCCAAGGCCAAAGGAGAGGGAACGCAGGGTGTGTCCAGCATGGGCAGGGTGCTGGTCCTTTCTTGTCCTTGATTAATGGGAGGCAGAGTGTGGGGCTGGACCTTTGGAGAAGAAGCCAACGGCTTCATAGAAGCCAGGACAGGACTATGAGTTGGTGCTGTCTGGAGACCCCTCCTTGGCCACCCTCTCCAAGTCTCTCCCCGCAGACCTCCTATCCTCTGGCTCGCTCAAGCAGCTCGCCTCCCACCCCCGACCAGCTACGGTGCAGATTGTGTTTCTGAAGTCCTGGGCGGTGCTCCGGGGTCCTCTCCTGCAAAAGGAGATGCTCTAGTCTCCTCTAGAATGCGGGATCCCGACCAGAGATGGCCTGATGAGGAGGGGGGTCGGGAGCTGCCCCCAAAAGAATCCGCACGACACCGCGGGCCACTGCAGCCCCTGCCCACCCTCATGGCGGCTTGTCCCAGGGCCTCGCGCTGGCGGGCGCCGTTCTGCCACGTCCCCATTTGGCAGGCGCTCCATTTGGCAGCTCCCCCACTCGCCCCCGAGGGCTCCCGGGCAGAGTCGGCCCGCGGGGCTGGTGGGGGGCGGGCGGGCCGGTCCACGGGCGCCGTGCGCTGCGAGCGGCGGCCGCTGGGGGCGCTGCGGGGGCTGCACTTAAAGCCCGGGAGCGGAAGCGCGCGCTCAGAGGGAGTCGGACAGCCGCTGTCGCCGCCGTGGCCGAGCTCGCCCGCGTCCCCGCTGCTGCGCCGGCGCTCCCAGCCTCCCGGTTGCTCCGGCCCGGCGCCCGGTGCATGCGACCCCCGCGGACGCCCGGTGCCGGCGCCGGAGCCTCGACCCGCTTGTGAGCGCGGCGCCGGGCGCGCGGGCGGCGGAGCCGGGGGGCGGCATGGGGAAGTGTCAGTCCAAGCACTGTGAGCCGCGGGCGCGGCGGGCGGCGGGCGGGCGCGGCCACTCACTCTCCCCCGCCTCCCCCCCGCGCTCCGGCCGCGCCGCGGCCGCCGCAGCCCCCCAGCGGAGAGAGAGCCCCGAAGGTGAGCGTGCCGGGCGGCGGCCGAGGCGCGGAACTGCCACCGGCCGGGACCCCGAGCCCGGAGCCTAGCGCGTCCCGCCCTCGGGCCCGCGGGGTGTGGGGACGATGCCGCGGGGTCTCCGGGAGCGCGCGGGTCCCCCCCCTACCCGGACCCCGGCCCGGCCCTGGACCTGAGCCCTGAGCGCGGGGCGCGCGGAGATGGGATGCGCGCGCCGGGCGGGTGGGACACGGCTCAGGCTCAGCGTCTGGGGCTCACCGCGCGTCTCCTTCTTCCTCGGTGGCTCGTTTCCCGCGCGTCGGCTCGCGGTGCCGCAGGGGACAGCTTCGTGGTGTCCGCGTTCGCGAGTGGCCGCAAAGGCACGGAGGACGCAGAGCGCAACACCGGCAGCAAGCAGGTAGGCCTGTGGGCCAGGGAGTCGGGGGTCAGAGTCGTGACCCCGCTGGGACCCCCGAGTGGGCATGCCAGAGCGATGCCAGCCGGACCCAGAGCCTGTCCCTCCCCGGCCTCTGAGTCTCAGGCTAGGGTCTCGTGGCAGCAAGCCTCAGTCTCCCAGGCTGGAGGCTTTGGTGGGGAGGGGTTGGCCATCCATGTATGAGGGTCACTGGCTGGGGTTGGAGACCACCATGCCTCCCACGTGCGACCGGGTGACCACCGACCTGCAGAGGGGCCCAGGCTGTGGGTGCTGCGGCGTCTGGCTCAGGACCCAGTTGACCCTGAGAGTGGGTTTGAAAGGTGATCGGTCTAGAAGCAGAGAACAGCCCAGCCTGGGGTACCAGAGGGACGTTGAGTAAACTAGACCCACACATATGTGCCAAGCAGGACCAGGGGGTCCTTACACGGTTATTGGCGTCCGTGGGAACTGGATCCGTTGGGGTGGCAGAGACTCCTGCTCGTGCTGGCTTGCCCCCCCTCGGAAGCCCTCAGCAGCAGAGTGCACCAGCTCATGGGGATGTCCGCTCCCTTTTTAGAAGGACGTCCTTCTGGCCGGTTGCTAAAGAGAAATGCCAAGTGTGTCTGCAGACACTTGTGCAACGTCCTGAGAAGGGCTCCGATATGCCCTGAAATGAACACTTGCTGGAGTTAGAAGGTTCATGCCTTCTGGGAGTGACGTTTCTGTGCGCACCCGGGAAGGTAGGAAATACTTTTTAAAGCATTTTCTGGGTACACCATAGTAACGTTGGCTGGACGTGTGCTCCCCTGTGTGGGGGACCAGGGCAGGATGGCCCCAGGGAGCAGCCGAGGTCTGTCTGTTTGCTTTGCCAGAGGGAGGGGGCGTGTCGATAAGGGGATGGGGCTAAAGGCTCGGTTTCGCATGTGATCAGATCATCTGCGTGTGCATTCACATCGTGCTCAGGCCTGGGGGCCTTCTCCTGGGTGCGTGGGCCCAGGGCCTGACACTGTGCATTGGGTCCTGGGCGGTGTCTGGGTGAGTGCACTCACTTGTTCAGAACATGGCCGTGACACTCCAGGCGTCTGCAGCTGGGGCCAGAGCAGTGTTTCCGTCTGATGGACGCCACACACTCGGGACATTTTTAAGAATGGGGTGGGGTATGGCTTGGGTTGTCCCTTTCTATTTTGTCCTCCGCTACAGTCTGAATGTTTGTGTTCCTCTAAAATTCTAATGTTGAAACCTCACCCCTTAGGTGACAGTGTTGGGGAGCTGGGGGCTTTGGGAGGGGATCCGGGCATGAGGGTGGGGCACCAATGGCAGTGTTAGTGCCCTTACGAGAGGCCTCAGAGAGGTGGGTCCCTGTTCCGTCTGCCATGTGAGGGCGCTCGGGAACACGCCATCTAAGAATCAGAAAGGGGCCTCACCAGACACGGAATCTGCGCTCAGCCTGATCTTGGGCTTCCAGTCTCCAAAACTGTGAGAAATAAATAGCCGTGTTCCTAAGCCCCCCAGCCTGTGCCATCCCAGTAGCCCAAGCTGATGTGGAAACAAGGTGCTTTTAACACCAAGCTACAGAAAGAGCACAATCTCAGAACACAGGGTGCCCCTTCCGTTAGATACATTCTAGCTGAAGATGGCAGCATGACTACTGTGTCTCCCACAGTCGGCTGTGGGGGCGTGAGCCTCTAGCCAGGCACTGGCCTGGCATTGACCTCCGGGCCCGGGTTCACCGCACACTGGCAGGATGCACATGTGTCCTTGTTGCCGTCACCGAGCGACCCTGGGGCGGTTCCTGCCCAGCTCGAGCTCTGTCCAACACCCCTGCTCCTGGTTCTGCCCCGGGAAATTGCTCAGTCAGGGACATTGGGGGGTTGGGTCATATGTCCCTTCTGCCCAGCGTCCTGCAGCCTTCTCCGCGTGTGGTGTGCCGAGCTGTGTCCTCCCTGGCAGTGCCTGGCAGAGGCCGGCCTGGAAGGTGCAGCACCCCCGGGAGGGACACGGCCCACTCTGTCTCCATGCAGACTGCGGTGCCCTGTGCTGAGTAAGAACGGTGCCAGATGACCTTGTGGAAATCAAATGTGTGTCCACCTACTGTCACCTGCCCTCTTCCCCCCCAAAACAAAGGAAATGAGATTGGTTTTGCCAGCAATGCTGGCTCCTGGTGCCTACTTGGTGCACATCAGAACCACTCACCGATATTAGCGTTTTCTAGGCAGGTGGACTGCCTGCTTCGAGGTCTAGTATACTCGTCCTTGCTGATTCTGGGAAATGCTGCAGTTTGATCTTGGCAGGACCTGCATCACTTCCTTGCCAAGTGCCCCTTGAAGGGCCAGGGCTGTGCCAGGGTGATGTGGGATGCTGGCAGGTGCGGCACGGAGATCTTGGAAGGGGAGTAACTGAGGTCGTGCATGCATGAAAATTATGAGGAATGAGGGCAGCAGGGTCTGGTAACAGGTGGGGACAGCCAGTGGTCAGCAGGGTCCTGGTTGCAGGTGGGGACAGCCAGCGGTCAGTAGGGTCTGGGTTAGAGGTGGGGACAGGCTTGGGGCAGCAGGATCCTGGTTGCTGGTAGGGACAGCCAGTGGTCAGCAGGGTCCTGGTTACAGGTGGGGACAGCCAGCGGTCAGCAGGGTCCTGGTTGCAGGTGGGGACAGCCAGCGGTCCGCAGCGTCCAGGTTAGAGGTGGGGACAGCCAGCGGTCAGCAGGGTCCTGGTTGCAGGTGGGGACAGCCAGCGGTCAGCAGGGTCCTGGTTGCAGGTGGGGACAGCCAGCGGTCCGCAGCGTCCAGGTTAGAGGTGGGGACAGCCAGCGGTCAGCAGGGTCCTGGTTGCAGGTGGGGACAGCCAGCGGTCAGCAGGGTCCTGGTTGCAGGTGGGGACAGCCAGCGGTCAGCAGGGTCTGGGTTGCAGGTGGGGACAGCCAGTGGTCAGCGGGGCTGTGGTTGCAGGTGGGGACAGCCCTGTCCTAGAAGCACGCCCTTCCCTCTGCACAGTTGCTCACCATCTGCCTGCAGATTTGTCATTTCTGTAATGCTCGCAGAGGCTGGCAGGAAATGTTCAAAGGGCAAGAATCACTAACAATTGAAATTTTGTTGCAAGTGAACACATTTCCATTAAGTGAGCTAAAAGGGGATGTTCCGCATAACTCCGAGCTCGAGCTCGGGAACTCTAGAAGCGTCATTTTAACAGACACTCACTGGGGTTGTGGCCAAGACTGCTGCATGGGACCCTTGAGCTGGCCTCGCGGGATGTGGCTGTCGAGCCCCCAGGGCTCTGCCCATCTTGAGCAGACCTTAGCTCCAAGGATGCACATGCCAGTCCCACACGCGTGTGGCCCCCCCGGACAAGCCGTGTGTCTCGCGGCACATTGCATCTTAACCACAGGCAAGCGTTCATCTGAAATCTGGGGGCTCAGCCCCGTGGCACCGTGTGATGTCTTCCTGGTGAGCGCTCCCCAGAACCAGGCTCCAGGGCCTGGGACCCCCCCAGGTCCTGCCACAGGCTTCACCCCTGCCCCACCTGTGGGGGAATGCAGTGTCCACCCCAGCCCATTGGCCACCACTCACCTGCCCGCCTGCTCAGCACATGGCCAGAGGACATGGCTGCAGTGGGACGGGCACATCTCAGGGGAGGGGCTGTGGCTTCTTCTAGAGATTCCTGGGAAATTCTTCCCACACCGGCCGCAGTCAACGCAGAGAGCTTGGTGTGGGGAGTACACCACACGCTTGCGGGACAGTGTGTGTCCTGAGACTAGCGTGTCGATGCCATTGGGCCGTTGCATGGGCCACGGGCCTCGTGGAAGGAGCGGACTTCCCTGTATGACCCTCAGTGGGACAGGTGGCTGGGGCTCCGCAGGCTGACCTTGGGTCTTCTGTGACCCATGCCCTGGGGATGCTGTGACCTCCTGGAGTCCTGGCCTGTGGGGTGTCTGATATCGGGGCCAGGAGCCCTCTGCTCTCCTTTGGGTGCCCACTGTGTGCCTGGCCCTTGGGTACCAGCACTGTGGCTGTGTCCTCAGACGTGGCCCTGCCATGTGGCAAGGCGGCACAGATGTTCGAGGTCCAGAGGAGCCAACAGTAGTCATACTGGGGACCCAGGCTTCACTGAGCACCAGGGGACCCCTCCCCAAGGTCGGGTGGCATCAGCCCCTCACCCCTACCCATGCTTCTGAAATTGCAAATGCCCCCCCCGCAGCCAGGGCCCCATTCTACCTAAGGATGAGCCCAGTGATCCCAGCTAGTCCGCGTCTGAGGAGCCACTGGAATGGACCCAAGGACCTGTGCAGGGGCTGGCTGCTCTGAGTGGTTTCCTGTGGTGGAGGGGCTAAAATTTGCCCCATGTCCTAGCTTGGAAGTGTGGATGGATATAGTCTGCAGGCGGGACTCCTGAGGAGAGGGAGATCCACCATGCCCACATGGCCATCCCCTGGGTGGTGGGGTGGTCTGTGGTCTGCAGCATCAGACACTCCGCAGGGGCCGAGGGACACCTGGAAGGGCCGGACGCCGTGAATGCAGTGTCCACCCCAGTCAGGTCCCTGTGGAGGGCGGTGGGGCCGCTGTGGGGGCCACTTGGCCGCCAGGGGGCAGTGTGTGTGCCTGCTTCTCGTGTGTGCGGGCACCCTTATGTCGTGTGGCCAGGACTCTGGGGTTGACCAGGCGAGGCTGCAGCTGGCACGCCAGCCTTGGGGCTAGGGCACAGGATCCACCTGTGTTGGCTGTGGCAGGGCCGTGGCGGGGCTGTGGCGGGGCCGTGGTGGGGCCAGAGGCTGCCCCGCAGACCTCTCCCCCATGCCAGGACAGTGCTCATGACTGAGATGCTGGTCTCTGGAGAGGCTCCCAGGAAGCTGTTGGGGACAGTGCGTGCAGCCGCCTGCCCTGGGGACACTCAGGTGTGCGACGGCCTGTGCCCTCTCGGGCAGTGGCTTTAGGGAGCATGGAGCCTCCATATCCATGGGCACACTTGGAGCAGCTTCAGAGAAGCCCTGAAGCAAGCAGGACAGGTGT